CTCAAGGACAAGGTGTCTAAATTTAAACTCGATGTTCATGGTGAAATAAATCATAGCGAGCATCTGATTTTTAATTTAGAGAACTTTATTTAATCAATACTATGTACAATAGACATGGGTCACATGCTCGTGGGCAAAAGAATATTTATTTATTTATTTATTTACTAGCAACCCAATACACATTACAAGCTAAACAGATACCTACACAATAAAGAACAACAAGTAAAAAAAGTCTGACTTGTAATATAAGCCATGTGCGCACGACTAAACAAGACAAGAAAACAAGAAATGTGCTGAGTGTGTACAATAAATTCCTTACTACTATAGAACAAAACGACACGATAACGAAAACTAATCTAACTTGGAATGTAGGGAAATAATTTTACTCACAATAAACATTAGACAATTACGCTATCTATTTAATCTACCATTAAGGCGGAGAATGCCCAATACGTGATATCATACGAGAAGTCGCAGGTTCAAAATGGTGAAAAGTGATTCTGAAAGTTGAAGAATCCGTGAGCTAATTGAGCACGACGCCCGACGCCAGACTTTCATCTAGTGATGCAACTACGGTGGTGTACAAATCCTAAGTAGCGATTACTCTCAGTAAGTACTGTGTTCATGTTGAATGTGTTCTCGTCTAAAATCCCTCAGTGCTTTAAGACAAAGGTGTACGACCAGATGTGGTGCTTCACAAAAGAAAAGGAAAGGAAGTTTACTGTCGCGCAGCGAGCTATAGGGAGGGCTTTGCTATGCTATGCTCGGTATTGCTCTACGTGACCGAATCACAAATGTAGAGATCCGTAGAAGAATCAAAGTTGCTGATATCCGTTGGATTAGCAAGCTGAAGTGGCAGTGGGCAGGCCACATAGCGCGAAGATCGATGGGGGCGTGTTCACAATTAACTTACAGTAAGTTCAGTAAGACAATGATGGTATTTCATACAATCCGTAAGTATTTGCGTTTTTCATGATGTTATTCGGTATTTTTTACAACAGTCCCTTAAATTTTTCTACATTAACAGGTCCAAGCTATGATTTATTTCTTTAATAGTATGTGACGGAAACCCACATACGAGACGAAAACGAAAGCAAGCAGAAGCCGATCATTAGGTGATTTTCCAAAGGGATACTGCTTCCTCGCAGAACTCAGTCTCGGATCCCGGATCCTCGGATCAGAGTACGATCACTAATCAAACTACACGAGGTAAAGTAAATTTCAAATTATATGAAGTTCTCATACATAATATTGACACTTTTCCTTAATGGATGGTACACGTAGCTAAATTACCTGATGTCATTTCCTGAGTCATTCACTGATGAATCAAGGTATAAAGATTACATTCTTAAGATCTAGTATTCTTAAACTTGTGTAGTGTGTGTGTACTTTATGTAAAAATAGTTCATTTTCAGTTACGACTGCCTACTATTACAAACATGTAACAGTACGCGGGATCATGGCTAACTCTGCTTCCCATTTAATACAATAACACGTAGCCTGCAGCAGCAGTTAGCTATCATTAAACACTCTAACGACATTTTGAAGTTAGGCTTACACAAAAGTTCCGAACAAAAAATATTCGAACCGTCGGTCTAGCGAGCAATTTCACCCGCTCTGTGGAAGATCTTCCCCTTGTCTTTAACCACCAAACTATACGTGCACGGCGTATGTACTTCTATTCGGAACCTTTGGCTCTAAGACAAGATCTTCCTAATGTCTGCGTGTTGTGCTAAAGCGAGTGTTCGGAGGAATTGTTGAGATTATTTCATCTCCCATTTCCACTGCATTACCAAATACCTATATGAGCATAGTTTCTCCCAACTTCTGAAAACGCTATTCATACAGAATGCATTTTCCATCCGGTTTTGGAATGAGCTCCACTCCGCGGTGTTCGCTCACGTCTTCGTCGACATTATGTGGTTAGCGGAGTGAATACGACAATGCCAATCTCACCTTAATATTCAAAGTTTGCATTTCTTTGAAGCAACCATGGCCAACATGAGTCGGGCTGCGAAGTGTCGTTTGATGTGCCATAGCTTTCCTTGGACGAATTAGGAGCTATTATATGTATAATATTTATTTGACACTCTATTCACAGTTAAGAATGTAATAACAACATTGTGAGCAACTTTTTTGTTGATTAGTCCGTCCGTGTCAACATTACTCATCATTAACATGTCATTATTTTAGACTTCAAGTGAAGAGCGGCGAGCTTTTAGATCTGTATTATCATGTCTAATGAACACATAATTACCTGTAGCAGATATACTAACATTTTTGCTGTCGAGTAAGTTCTTTAATTAAATGATTTTTTAAGTCAAGGGGATGAAAAGAAAATTAATATGATGGTCGGGGTGGTTTCATTTGTATTTTTACCAAGTTGTCAAATAAGTATTTCATGTTACATCTATTTTACTATACTATATATGTGCTAATATTGATTTTTTAGCAAAAACTGTAACTGGTAAATTGGTCTACGAAAGTTTATTAATGGCCGTGACCCAAACAAATACTGTTGAAGAGAACCATCTCACTGCCGAGCTAGTGTCGTGAGGGAGAGAGCCATGCTAAACAACATAGGTAATTGCAGCCGCCAAGTTTTAGGCATTAAATAAATATTTTGGCATAATCGAAAAAGCCATACGAAATAAGTGCACCGCGCTGGGTTTGCGGGAATCACCACCTGATATTAATTAGTTAGGATAGACAATAAAACACCATTTACAGAACAAGAATAAATAATAATTTATTATTTGTAAATTCTAATTTTATTTCTTATATCATAAGAGGACGAAGACAAGACGATATTTTCAACATCAAAACAAACAGGTTTCCCTTTTTACAAACTGTGTGTATTGAAATCGATGCAGAAAATCATGAAGCGGCTGCGAGTCCTAGCACGGCAATACTGAACAAACCCGTATGTGTGTGTAGTTCAAGCGCTGTATAAGTGAACCCTTCAGAAGTATTCCATCTCATTCCTACAGATGTAACAGTATTGGTATCTAAAGGTTAACATTTCAGTTTTATCGATTTTTATACAACGGTCGAAAAGTTTTCACTTAACAAATATCATGTTTGCATTATACGCTGTTAATCCACTATCATCGTAACAGAGTTACGGTGAGGCGCGCAAGGCAGGGTCTGGACGGAACGCGGTGTGCATCCGGCGGCTACCTTTGTGTTACATTGCGGTCTAATCAAAGATTACGGAAACGACAATGTATGCGTAGTAAATTCATATTATTCAGTTCACGTTGGAGTATTGATACTTAATACTTAAAACGTTGATTCCGAGATTGCGAAATGTTTAAAGGAGCGTTAAACGGGACCGAATATAATTTTGTCATTGCAAAGTTACAGAAGTCAAATAGTTCTGTCAGTCAACGGTACAACTTCACCATATTTTATATATCATTTGTCTTTTAGTTTCGCAATGAACTTGAATAAAATATTCACGTTACTATTGGTATTAATATTTTTATTTTTAAAACAACCAGGCGAGTAAAAGGCATATAGTATTCGTTCTCGCACTCGACATCATCACTCGGCGAAAGTTACTATCGCTGACAATGTAATGATCAAGTAAGCTATAATTTATTCTATTAGAAGCAATTCACATCTCTACAGACAGTGCGATTTGGAAATAACTATAATATTCGATCTAGTTTAGTATCTCTTTTAGTCCGTTACCGCGAAAACTGCTTTTTTTCCCTACCTAATCTGATAGATAACCTTGAGAGGCTATTTCAGCGTAACCTTAAATAGTAGGTGAGCTCACGGGGCTCAAACCAGAGTGATGCTAACACTGACCCTAGTAAGAGCAGTGCTTCGTAGAATCTACCACCGGATCGGAAACGCGATCCACTGAGAAGATCCGGCGAGAAACTCAGTGGGCTGTGTCTATGGGAACAAGCGAAAACTGCAGTATTGAAACGAAATAGTGATTTTGATTTCGGCTTCGTTTATTTCTATTGTTGTAATTTCGTCTTGCCTTCGTCCTTCGATGGCTGTAAATATTTAACAATAATATTCTGTTCGAAATACACATGATACATTCAGATAAAGTAACATTGATTTCTACGCAAGTTCACCGTAATTGTACGAATATATATATATATTTTAAATAAAGTAAAAACAAAACGTGAATAACGTGAAAACGAAAACATATTGAAAAATTTGTTTTATCGCAATCTTTCAAAAAGGTATATAAAAAGAATCAAAGTCATATACAATAACTTTTACTACAAAAACAGTTTAAAATATATATATTTATTTACTTACATGTAGTTTATTAGATTAATCACAAGTCGTCTAAAATTCAAACGAACGTTAATTTGTAAATATTCTGAAATAAAATGTTATATCACAATTTATTTTAGTTCACTTAAATCATTATTATGTTGTTAGTTAAATTGTTTTTTGTTAGTTCTTGTCGCCAATGAACACCAATTTGCTTATTTAGTGATTTTTGAGATCTAAAACTTTACTCTCGGCATTAATCTTAACAAATAATACGAATAATCATTATATATACAAAATATTCTTCAACTAATATCAGCTGTAAAAATGTTAATTTTAATTGAAATATGTCAACAAATCAACAATAATTATTTTTTAACAATGAAAAATAAGTTAACAACGGGCGACCATACGTCTAAAGTGTTCTCTTCAAAAATGATGATGCAGTCTGTGTCGTGACGTCACATTCCACAAATGAGTCGTCTATTATCAAAGGTGGCATCCTGTGCATTTGGACAAAAAAAAATTATTGATATGTCAATACAGCTTGATTTGAATATAATCGTCTCCTTCAAAGAATACGGTTCAAAACCTGCATTAAATAAAGGTTAATAGTTAACCTGTTATTTATCTAAGATGTCGTTCCGAAGAGTTTTGTGGCTGCCAATGGAATACAAAGTCAATAATTCGTTTTTCTGATTTACCAATCATTGTCCAAAAGTCAGATTGCCGGCTTTGATAATAGTCGACTCAAATGACATGTTTGTCGATATATATGTGCATTTGTAGTTCTTAGGTACATTAACTTTCATGTGACTCAAAATGTATACACTTCCATTATATTTCTTGTTTTTCTTTAAATATACTGAATTTGATTATGTTAAAAAGATATTGCAAGTAACAATAAAGAATAATGAACAATTTCAAAGATTTCCGTCAATGCACAACTCATTGCAGGACTGCGTTGTATCGTGTATGTAAGTACCGACAACGCAACAACCCGCGACCTCTAACGAGATATAATTAATTATCTAATAAAACATAGTATTGTCTTCGGATTGCGGGAGTCGTAGACATACTTAATAACACTCCTTTTACGATTTGATCTCGCTAAAATTTCATAATAGAATGAGAATAGTGTATGCGATATTAAAACCGTAAAGGTATAATAGTTCTAATTAAACTTACTTGTTAATGACGATATATTGTTTTGTAGAAGTGACGTTACAGTGAATGATGAGAGCGTTCTGAAGACTACGTTATCAGTGGTTGGTGCATCATAAATTCGATTCGATCTAAACAGTGCCGAGATTACGATAAAAATACAATTTGCATATTCGATAGAGTACATCGATCTAAAAGATTACCTATCTAAACTATTTTGGTTTTATGATTTTTTCTTATAAGTTTATTGTGTAAAAGCTTTTAAACATATTGGCCTAATAAAAAAAAAACATGAATTTTTTTATTGCTATAAATAGATTTGACATATTTGTAAAGATTTTACATTTTTTTTAACAGAGACGTGGTTAAGGATCAAAGCTTCGCTTAGTTTGCAGCAGTCTAGCCTAGTGTAAATATAGTACAAAATTTATATCACTTTGGTTTCCGTGTGTATACTATGGGCACCCGGTTGATAGAAACATCGTATTGTGTGCAGTCGGGGCTAACAATCAATTGGTAAATTCGACAACTGCAACTAGTCGTCCTAGCACTAGAGTCCTTCTTTGTTCACGACTTTCAAATAAAACTGAAAGTATTCTGGTTTGTGCCTTTAGGCTTTTCAGTAGAAACGATACGGGAATCTCGAGCAAAACTGCGTCTGGCGCTGGTATACTTGGACATGAGGACTTACCCATGGACATTTGCCTTTTGCCGCTTTTTATGTAGGTATAAACTTATTAACTAAAAAAAATCATAAAACCAACTAAGTGACTATGTACCATATCTTGGTCACCGATTTATTTTAACTACGAAGCGACATCACAGATAGCACGTACTCTCGTATGTATAATAATATATAATATAAACTCGAGCGCTAATACATTACTGCTGACTGCATGTATATATATCCCTTCAACTGCTCATAGTGTTTTGGGTAAAAGTGACTTCAATCTGGTGGTAGTCCAGACATCAGGGCGCAAACTCCGCCGTCGGATGTTCACATCGAGACGGAAGGTGGCTCTGAGTGGACTAATAAACCCTCGTCCCCAGGGGCACGAAAGATTGCGACACTCACACAATAGACGACAGCGATGAGTGTTGTTTTAGCGAGTACTCACTCTTTATGGACTGTCCCAGTGGACATTGTATTAAGTTTTTTATGCCCTCCACAAAAATAAACTTTGGCATGATTACAGTAGTCACGATTTCCAGATATTTTTATTCGAGAAAATCTTTGTGTGTGAATTAACCTTTAGAGACGGATTTTAGCAAAGTGGTAGTTGTGTGACAAGTCGGACGTGATATTTGACAAGCTTCGTTTCATACAACTTGATTTACATATTTGGTATTTGAGAGGACTTTTTCTTCTCTCATATGTGTATATTTTCATAACACGAGAAATGTTATAGAACAAGGTCCAATGTTGGACTGTTCACGCGCATCGTATCCAATGTTAAGAGACTGCTTAACAGATTATTCAATTTTTGAAATATTGATACGTAGCCCACTTTCATTTGTTGTTACTCTACTATGTGAGTTCTAACCTGTTTTTTTTTCTTCTTCTTTCTTTTTTTATAAGTGCCTGTTCTTCTGAAGCACTGAATTTCTTGTTCGGACAACGATTTGTGTCACTTACATCACGTTATGAGCTTCGACTAAATCTGATTCACAATAAACCTTACCACACATACCTACATATAATATGGTTTTATATAGGGTTCTTATCAATTTAAAGCCAGTCCGAAAACGAAGTGGTTGCGAAAGACTGTATTTTCCAAGTTTTTTTCACTGTACGCAATGTTATACAACTAGTAAGACAGAAGCGCGGCGATTTCTGCTTCGCCAAATATGATCCGACTAATTTATGCCATTTTTATACTAGAATCAACATATTGATTTTCCTCTCAGTTTATGGTTACGTTAAAAATCTTTTCTCCCATTTCGTTTTCGTCATCGACAACCTTTGAACTTGTTTAATGGGACTAATTCTCCACTTTATTTTTCATAAAAATATGAATTCGCAAAAAAAATTACAAGTGTCTGTTTATAAGTTTATACAATAAATACGGCAACATTTAAAACTTATGTAAAACAAAAAATAACGCTAACAGATCTGTACAAAAACGATTTATTCATAAAATAATATCTTTCTTTCGGCATTTTACTTAGCAACCTATATTAAGATTGAATAATTTTACTATACTTACACATTATTATACACGTATTATTATTTTATTGAATCGGAAATTCGATTTTACATTCGACGCACGCATATGGGACGAGGTCTCCGCATGGGAACATGTCCACGTTTAGTGTTTCCTACCCATCCGTAAAGGTGTCTTAAATATAACGCGCAACTAAACGTGTTTCCTCATGGAAAGTACAAAACTTGTATATAATATGTAATAAATTACGTGAAATTAAAGCAGAATCCTTTAATATACTTACGTTAGATGATAGTCGAGTTATCGGCATCTAATCCGGATTTAGAAACAATTCTCAATTTCAATTTTCAATTTTCAATTTTCATGATCGTCAAAAAAACACATTCACCGCATCAAATAAGGTTTACGTACCACTCTCTGTGGGGACTAGTATCGGATCCAAGGAAAACGCTCCCGACCGATTCCGTTCCATTTAATGTATTCACATTATTAGCCTTTGGATTCGTGAACGTTTACCTTGGAATCTGTAACTACTCCTATAATGCTTTTACTTTGAGATCATCTACTTTGATTTCAATTACGCATGTAATGTAGAGATAACAATTAATAGCAAAAGATAAGCATAATATTTTGGATAAAAACAAAGGATTGTTTCCTGTAACTGAACTGATCTAAAGAACTTGCCATTTGTAATATAATACCGTAGACATTACGTATGACAATACGTATTAACATTTTACAAAAATAACGTGCATAAAACAAGTGTGTCATGACGTATAAATAAATAACAGGAACAAATGTAAGTTGTACGCAAGTGTTAGTGTGGTGTTGCCCCTGGGCTGGCGGCGGTGGTCAGCTCAAGAGTGCTCCGGTCTCGGCTGCCTTGTGTCGTATACTCGGACCACGTCTGCCTGGGACACACTCCCGCCCTCCTCTTGCGAGAAAGCGAATCCATCTGCACAACCCGACAATTCAGTACATCGAAGTTAAACAGTCCACGAAAAACAAAAATCTAAACGTGCCAATCAAACTGAATAGGGATGTTGACGCAAGCCGTGTGGCGGCTCGTGACGTAGATAGAGGCTTTGAATTTTACTACTTTTAAAATGCTACTAATACTAATGCTAATTTAAAAATAAACTGTTGCCATTAAATGTTATATTTGTGTTCATTAAATATATGTATTAGGGGTTAAAGTATGAAATTGCCGATTTGTACTGAAAAATGGAAATGGTTTTTTTTTTTCATTTAATATATTTCTTTAATCAAAATATCTACCATTATTATCTATACATTGCTGTCATCTAATAGGCATTAATTGCTGTCTCATTTTGTACTGCCTCCTGGGAAGAAAACTTTTTATCACGTAGAAAATTGTCCAAATCACGAAAAAAAAAGGTAGTCCGTTGGAGCAAGGAGTTGGCGAATACGGAGGGTGACGAATAATTTCTAATTGCAGTTCTTGTAGTTAACACGGTTTCTCGTGCTGTATGAGGTCTCGCTTTATCATGAAGCAATAATGGTGAAGATCGATTCATGATTCGGGACTGTTTCACTTCAAGTTTTGCTATCATTGTTCAGACATCTGCCGTTATTTCTTGACTAGATTGGAGAAAGCTATAGTAAATAACACCATGCTGAGACCACCAAGCAGTTACTTTATATAGGTAAGCTTTGCTTTAGGACACTGTTGCGAAGTTTGACCTGGGGTCAGCCATTGCATTTTTCGCTTACGGTTATCGTAAAAAATCCACTTTTCATCAACAGTCGCAATTCGATCTAATATTCCTTCATTTTTGTCTCGATTCAATAAGGCAACGCAAGTTTCAACACGCATTTCTTTCTGCATATCAGTCAAATCATGAGGCACCCATTTTTAATTTTATTTTATTGATTTGACGCAAATGAGTCAATATTGTTGGTAAGGTAACGTTAAACCATGCTGCTAATTCCTGGGTAGTTTGGCTTGGATCGGCTTCCACCATCTCTTTCAATTCATTGTTATTCACATGTGCAGGCGGTCTTCCACGTGGTTCGTTCTTCAAATCAAAATTTTCATCATGAAAGCGTTTAAACAAAAAACTCACGGTGCGTTCATTAGCGGCCCCCTCTCCAAACGCAATATTGCGAGCTGTTTCTGCAGCGTTAGTTCCGCGTCGGAACTCGTATTAAAAATCGCTCGAATTTTCGAAGTATCCATCTTTCTTGTCTAAGCTGAATAAAAAAAAAACAACTGAGAGTCGATAATCGAAAGTTGCACATTTTTTAAACGAAGAACCTCATAGGTACTATTTGAAAAGAGTTGCACTCAAAAATATCAAACCATGAAGGTTCTATGTCAATTCGAATTGACGGCAATTTCATACTTTAACCCCTATTTTAAAGGCTAAGTGATTTTTTTTATCAACATCCCCATGACGTGAAATGGAGGTATCTATATGTGTGCGTGTATGTGTGCTTGTGTGTGCGCGTGTCTGTGCTTGTGTGTGCGGCGCGGCGTGTACTCACGCGAGAGCTCTAGCTCGACGGCGGCCCGCGAGGTGGAGCGCCGAGTGAACACGCTGCGAACGTTCTGCAGCAGCCGCGCCGTCTCCGTGAGGCTGCCACACACACCTCGCGGTCACTACTACACTCGCTACTCAACGCTATTCACAAGACAACCCTTATAATCCTCTCGACTACCCTCCTCTCTAACACTATGACGAATAGCCCTATTCCCCCCTCGTGTATCGTAAAATCAAAAAGCGTGAAGTGTTAAACAACAATTTACATGGCCATCAACGAACCCTTACGGTTAAATCAGCTTCAGTTAAATCACCATTAAAGTACCAACGGACCGCCATAATAATATAATGTGCAAGACATTATTTTAAAGTTCTGCTGTGGACCATTTAAACTGTGTGTATGAAGCGTTAAGCGTAATTAAGAAGCAAAAGCGTTAATGCTGAAGCCATGCCCGTACTTACACTGAGCTAGCCTGACGAGCGCATGCGCGGCCTCCGCCACGCTGTTCCGGGGGACAATCACCATGCGTTAGTCACACACATGTAAATACGTCAATACTACATAAAAAGTTATTGTTAGGAAATCGTTTCAAAAATACAACATCTACATTTCATTTTATATTTAACAACATTTCAGTTCGAACGGCCGTTTCTAATTTCGGATGAAACAAAACGTTATTTAAGTATTAAACACATCAATTTTTGATCTAAGGAACGATTTAAAGTGAATTAAGAATCCGACACCTGTGAAAGATATACGAACAATAAATTACATTTATTAGTTACGTGAAGTTAGTTCACTGGTTTTGTTGAAAACAGAACACAAGGCGAGAGCCAAAATGTGTAATATCCACAAGGACTATAATAATACTAGTCGATAAAGTCGTAATTCTTCAATCTGAATTTCTTAAAAAAATTAAGTATTTCAAAAAAATGTTACATGAATACACGAGGATGATCTTTTGTCTACTGTACGCCGATTGCTCTGTGTTCCAGGCGAGTAACACACTCGTACATACTCAAATTGAATTGGACACTTATCGACACTTCTTTGACACATTAGCAACACTAAATTTCATGTCATTTGCTTCAGTTTTCGCGCGTAATTGTAACGACTTTTACGGTTTAATCTCGCTTTTATCATTTTAATTTTACACTCCGTTAATTTTGTCTATTGGTTACTCAAACTGCGGTAAATTATTTATTTGATTAGTTTCTGACAAGTCTTTTGTGTAGAAAAACGTACATTTCAATTTTTTAACTATGTCGTGTGACAGTGACAGTTTAAAATGAAACTACTACACGCGAAATGAAACCGTTAAAGTACAGTCAATTATTTATTAACACATTTCATGTTCAATATTTGAGAAACGAGACGTGTGTGTGTGTGTGTTTGTGTTTGCAAATATTGTTGTGTTTGTGTTTAATTTTAATTTTAGTTATAAACCTTATTTATTAATTAAGGTTTTTTAGTTAGTTTCAGAAATTGGCAATGATTGTTTGACTATCCTTTTATATACATTTTAAATTATAGGTACACAGACAACACTGCGAATATTTTTTTAACCAATTATTTAAATGAGCAGACGAGCTCTCGTCCAGACTGATGTATAGTGGTCACCGCAGCCCACAGATCCTACACGCCGTGGATGCCGCCCTTCCGTCCATATCCACATATTTAATCAACTCTCTTTTCTTTACGCCCCACTAAGAGTCGTGACTTGATTTCGAAAAGCAACTCTACAGCATGTAATTAATAATATTTTCTATTGTCTCACAGTCGCTAGATAAAAATACAAATTCCCACTAAAATCCGTGTAGTGTAAAGACTAAACGTTTTTTTTACATGGCATTATCTCTATGTGGCGTATAATTCGAAGCGAAAAATATACAATGTATATGTGTATCTGATTTGTAGGTCAATGAAGTGCGTCATACTTTTGAATTACAATAAAGGATCGAAAAAGCAAATTATAATACAGCGCAGGATAAAGTACTACACAATTGCATCTGACAATAGCCGTTTATTATCGACATATTTTACACAAAACAACAACAATAGGAAGATGTACATACACATGTGTATAGTTATATTTAACAATTTTAGAATTCGTTTTTATATACATATAAATAAATGTTGTTTGTACACTGCATATCTCTTGGTCAAAATCGGCTTTATACGATATTAACAAACAAACAATTGACTGCCCTGAGTTATACCAACATGTGAGAGAATTCACATTTAGGGCGTTGGTCAGTTAGTCAGAAATAGTGACCTCAAAAAGACTACAAAAATCTAGTCATACGACATTATCGAGAATTATTGGCGAGGTACAGAGTCGCAAGTACGGTAACACGTTGATAAAAATATAATGTTGCCAATTGATAAAACCGTATAAAAAAGTTGCGGGTAAATCGTGAAGATTTTTGTTTGTCCAAAATAGCTCAAATTGTTATTTATTTCATTTATATCCATTAACAAACAAAGTGCGCATAATTTATGCCTTATGTCAATCTTAAAAGAACTATTGCTGATTTTTTAAATACAATCTGTATACAAATAACAAACAACATTTACATTCAAGTCATTTATTTAATAAACTAGCAACAATAAAACAAGTCACGATCCGCACTGAGATAAGTTCGATGCGAAAATTATTTGTACATATCTATCTATATATCTTCTAATTTAGTTGAATTTAATTCAACCAGGAATGAATTGAACCTTTCCCAAAAACGGAAGGCGGGAGGTAGAACGTGAACCCTAGCACGGATAACCTATTTTATATATAAATAGGCAATGGTTTTACTTAATTTTATTAGCTACCGATGAGATTTTGTAATTATTATTTTTTTGGAAACAGTCTATTTACCCAAACTATATAATAAAAAATATCAAAAACGAACCAAAACAGGAATTGTAATACATACACTGAATCGAAGTCTTGAGGTGTTAAGAGATTATAGTCTAGTTTCGATCATTGGACGAACACATATTTTGTGTAGGTACTGTTGGTATAATAACACAAATAAAATCATATGTCGCACGGGATGAGTCTTGTATCTACCTGCGAGATTTTAAGAATGGATTAGAAAAACCTTTAGGTTTCTCCTTGAGACACGCAGCATTGCGTCCTGCGTTTGACGGTTTCACAACTAAACTCAGTACTGGCACAAGTTACAGAGCATACTTGAGTTTTTTACTGCTTATGATTTGCGATTTAGTGGAGTTTTAAATTCCTGTGCTATAAATATTAATATTTAATCGATACTAATCATTTTAAATGGTGCCACTATTGAATTCAGTATGCGACAAATTATTGCTTTAAGAACACCATAGGCGTTTAATTTTGTTAATCATCTAGCGTATAAAGTTTCTAGCTCTTTACAAATCCCACTCCACTCCGTTGTGCAGAGAAAACAGTAATTTTGCGAAAATCAGTTTGTAATGAAAATTCAAAAAACATTTTCCAGAAAAAATTAAGAATTCCAGTTGAATATTACATTAAAGGAAAATTGATTGTTTCGAGCAAGGCGTTAATGGAGTAAATAAATTAGAATGTCGTTATCGACAGCCCGTCTACACGTGTGGGTGCAGTGTGATTTTAAAACAGCGCCCCTAGCGGCAAACGTAGGTAAACATTCCAACTCCATACAAATTTAAGTTAACTCTTACGCTATCGAGAACGTTAAGAAACTCGCACTAAACACAAGGAACAGAAGTGTAAAGAGTTCTCGTGTGCAAACTGATTCTCGTTTGATTGTTGGTTGTTCTGTATAGCACAGTCATATTCTAATGAAAATACTAACAAATATTACAGACTGGTTAATTTGATTCGTTTCATATATTCTCATGTCTAATTACATTAAATGTATTTTAAGTTAAGGAAGCCTTAGGAGGCGGACGTTGTTGAAGAGAGCCCTTATTAATAACTAATTTTATTTAGAAAACCAATGTTGACGCTAAGCTTTTATACTAAATATGGCGAGGTCTAAAAATACGTATTTGTATGGTTTCCAATAAAGCGGCCATGTACAAAAATTGTTTTTGGAAATGAACAACAAACAATGCAGATTGCGTTCGAACTATCGGTACAATTGATAGCATTAGAGTGTGGACATCATCGGTCTGCTTCAACCATATCTTACGATCTGCGAAATACCATGGTTATGCTTTTTTTGGGAACATAATGGATTTCATAAGTAACTGATTTATTTTGAAGCAGCACATCAAAGCTCTCACTTAAATTGTATAAAAGAAAAAGAGATATATAGTAAAACATTGAGGCATCGCTTCGATGATGACTTAAAGGGCATCGTTTGTATTAAATATATCAAATTATATTATTCTAAAAGCTTTATTAAAAAAGTTCACTCTTTGTAAAATCTTAATATAGGAAGAGAATCTAGCGAACACCGGGGGCACACCCGGAGCGCCCCGGACGTACACCGGGGGCACTCCCGGAGCGCGCCGGGCGCACCCACCGATAAAACAAAAGTTACCGTTTGACAGCAGCCTTTCGTCTCAACCAACACGTGACGTGCCGCCATCTTGAAATATCACAATAAGTTAGTCTAATGGGAATGCATCTGTAGAATAACTTAATAACTTACACACAACATTTAATTTACAAACACTTACCGAACGAAATAAGGGAAGTAACGGTAAGCGTTTGTAAATATTGTTTAACAAAATTTGTACAAAAGACGAGTGACGAACTACCGAGACTAACTAATCAGTCGTAGGCCCGCTCGCATCGTGAGACGATGCGGCGCGGGCGAGGCGCGGGTCCCTAGCGGGGGTCCGGTCGCGCCGACGGCCGCGCGTCAAATGACGTGCGCGTCGCGGATCCAGGGTGGGCGCGGGGCGGGCGGCGCGGGGGCGGGCTGCACGTGGCGCCGCCTCCAGCGCAGACCCACGGGCTCGCCGCGGCACTCGCTGGCCACAACACAACGTCAGCACGCGCCTGCACTCGCGCCAAGCTCTGTCTGTCTCTCTCTCTCTCTCTCTCTCGCTCTCTTTCTGTATACGCGTTACTTTAGTCGACTATGCTCTGTATCTTTAAATCGCCATGTATTGCTATATACTTTTAATAATCAAAATTTTAACAAACTGAATGCGAGAGCGACACCGCCTGCTCGATGTACAGACAGACACGGCACGAGTGCACGCGGGGTGCGGGGGGAGGGTGGGATGCAAAGCGAACTAAAAAAGGGACTAAATAACGTGCTCACTAATGCTCAAAATTCACCTCGTCTGCATATCCATTTTTTATTAAATAATTCGGACAAAAGCTTAGTGCTTTTTTCGTCGAAAATACAGCAACACAATTCCAAAATGGGGTTACCAATCAAAAAAGGTGTAAATTTAGCTCCAGGTAACAATAATGTGACACAGTTGTGGATATACAGACATAAGGCTAAATAAAATAAAACCGATCATACATACATATACATTTACAATAGTAAACGCAATTATGATTGCAATAAAGCCAATCCACGATATCGAGAGGTAAAGCTTATCATCGACTGTTTCCAGCCCACACATGTATCGCGCTTTATCGTCGCCCCTCATCCCTGACCATCTCTCTACAAACTTACATGTCATAGTAATGTAAGTATTTCAATTACATGTGGTTCCCAGAGGTGCACATGCAATCATAATAATATTATTGTGCTAAATTCAATACCAAAATAAATAAATACAGTAACATATAAAATTTTATACAATATCTACATTTGTGTTCTTCAGTGTTTACAGAAAAAATTGCCAAAATTTTTTAATTTTTGTTTCTTTCTAACTGTGATACCTATGTAAATGTTGGTGAAAATGAAAAATTATGAAATGTTAGATTATATTATTGGTACTCATGTGGCTGCATATAGCATTATATGTTATAATTAATAATTCCAAACGCATAAACACATGCACTACCCGGGCCACTCTACGGACAAACTGGACACGGGTCTATGTTGATGTTCTGCTATTGCATTTGTAACGGTTAGAAGAATCTTATGTTTGTAGATATCAATCGTATGAAGCTTATCTTCATTAAGTGTACGTTTAATCTCGTGTTTATATTAAAGTTCGAACAAAATAATCACAAATAACTTGGATTAAACTTTAGTTGACACAATAAATTTTTTTAAATATATTGTTTCATTACTGAGTATTTACATGTTGTTTTATATAAATTTTTTTCTATTTTTTTTTATGATTTATATATTGTTCTTTTATATATAATATATTTTTGTTTTCTGTTTGGAAACAAATAGTCTCTCAAAATGAGAACAGCTGTTATGTCACGCAGCCTTAAACAAGTGTTATAACGATTTCAGTCACTAGCTAAACGGTTTCTCTAATTAACTTTTACGACCCGCTTATAAGGTCTAAAATCAAAGGTTCTAGAACTCGATATCGTTTTAAAGAGGAATATTAACAAATACTGTAAAGTATGGCGGGTCGGGGGCGTGAGTATCTATGAGCACTTACGAGTGTCGCGGCTGGGCCAGCAGGGCGGGCGGCGCGCGCTGCTTCAGCTCGCTCTCCCGCACGGCCTCGGTGGCGGACTTGAAGGCGGAGTTGCGCACGCTGCAACGGGCGGGTCGCGTGAGACGTACCGGGTCACGTGAGACGCGGTGAGTCTCAATCAGTTTTAAAGTAATTAATGAAAAATTAATAGCTTCTGTATTCAGGCTAGACAGGGAGCGCACTATAGTAACAGATGACGTCGGAGGCTCTGTCTATACGTTCAATTCCCGCTGAATTAAACGATTATTATAATACTGGATGTACGTTATACTAGCGCGTGGCGCGTGCGGGGTTTTATGACCCTTGTAGGCAGACGAGCAAACGGTTCGTCTGATGGTCACTGGGGACCGTCGCTCGTGGACATCAGCAATGATAGGGGCAGAGCCAGGCCGCTGCCTACCGTTGAGGTCTGTCCTCAAGCCTCATTTGAAGAGATACAAGAGCCAACGCTCGGGAAACATCGCGCTGTTGACGAAGGCGACAGTTCTAGATGGGAGAAACGGACGGAGTTTGCTCTGATGATAATAATGATAATTATATAATTACACGGTGACGACGAGGTCCGGTATGAGGGTCGCTATCGGGATGAGGATGAGGCCGAACCAGAAGACCAGGGAGCCGAACACCATCCGGTCCATGCCCAGCATCACGGCTCCGATCAGAATCGTTGGGTATATGTTACTGTCAAAACAAAGATTTATGCTTTATGAAGGTGACACGAAAGTTTGTCGAAGAAGACCAGAGACTGTGGTACTTTAAGTCAAGCGGAAGACGTGAGCGTGTCCGCGCCGCACTGTAGTATGTTGGAGGCCGCGACCAGGCGTCTTTATTTGTGTTCCATTGCCTGCATCAACCACAAGGAACATATCATTTGTTTAATGTCACTGAGTTGTCACTGTCACTGAATGTCGCTGAGGGGGGCGAGGGAGGGTTCTAGCTGGGAGTTGTCGTGTAATGCTTAAGTCGTTATGTTACTGACCTGTATATAAGTAAGAATAGCAGCCATAGAGCTAAGGACCCCCATATGGAGACGTGCGTGACCCACGTCCACGAGTGCGTGGCCAGCCCGGCCTTGAGACACACGGTCAGTACCACGTACTGGAAATAAATAATTATTGATTTTAGTTAATCATTAACCACGTTCTTCATGCACTGTGGACATGCTGCTATTCCGTATGTACATTATAGTTCGCGTTAAGAACGCAGTGAGTCATCTTTGTTCGCCGGCCTAGCCCCGCCCCTAATCAATCAAATCTCTTCAAATTACAAGGTCAAGTTCACAGTGACCAGTTGAAGGCATAGTTTCAAACGCGGCGGTTGTGTCCTGTAATTGTGTTACCTGATTTATATTTAAAAAAAAATAATACCTCACCAATTCGTAAAAATAAAAGTGGCTCGGTAATTCATAGCGAAAAAGAAAAGTAATTTACAATGCTTTTAAGTATTTTAAGCAGTCTGATTTTAATGTGACTGTGGACAGCATAATACAAAAAACAGCAAATGCATGCATTTTTAACTTTTAAGTATCTTTTTTAAAATCATGAAACTTAATCTTTAAAAATATAATTTGTTTGAATTTTAACACTGCTGTGAATACATCTTTACCCTGTAGTTGCACTAATGACTCACTGCGTTCTTAACGCCAACGAACTATAGGAACTAAGCACTATGGTACTTCTAGTCACCACCGGAGGATACGTACGGTGTAGACCAGGTTCCCCAGCACCAGGTATCCGCCGTCCTTGCCCGAGGACCACAGCACGTGGTGGTCGGCGAGCGCCACGGGCAGCCAGAACAGCAGCACGGAGTGCAGCAGCGCGTTGACCGCCCACACCCAGAACACGCGCACGTTGAACAGCAGCCCTTGTTGCGACGGGATGTACAGGATGGGGTGCTGCAAGAACGGACCACAACTTTTTTTTATTGCCCTTGTATGCAGACGAGCACACGGCCCACCTGATGCTGAGTGGTTACCGTCGCCCATGGACTTCAGCAATGCCAGGGGTAGAGCCAAGACGCTGCCTACTGACCAATCCGCTGCCTACCCAAAACCGGACTTCTTCTTGGTGCTCCTAGTGTGTACAGAGCTTCATCACATCAAAACATAGATTATTCTATTTAATGTGAGGACCATGGACAGCCGCGGTGTAGTTAATTTGTCTCTCTCGCTCTCTGTATGTGTTAGAAGCTGAACGTGAACACATATGACGTATCCTTTTAATATGTTATATTAATTTTTAACAATGAACAAGTTTGTATAAGTACAGTACACTACGGCAGCGCGCCGAGGGAAGCCACTGCACATAACTATATACCACAATGAACATTAGTTCAATACGACGTGCTCATGCGATCCTGTTGCTCAGATGTTGCGTACGATAATGTCTATTGTACAAACAGCTAGCGCAGTAAATATAATAGTTGACTAGTTTAGTAGAGATTTGGTCCAGTTCAACTTACCCTGAGCATGATCTCCGGTGAGCACAGCTTGTCGAAGAGTCCGATGGCGAAGGGCGGCAGCGCAGTGAAGATAACGTTGTAGAAGCCGATGGTCCACCGCTCGAACAGGATCTGCCCCGACCTGCCGACGGAACGCGTCACTGCACGGCACCACGGGGGAGGGGCGGGGGCGGGGGCGGGGCGGGGGGCGCGGATACTCACCAAGCAGAGTATATGGCGAACCACAGTTCGATGACGTACAGACAGATGTTCTTGTAGAATGAATACAGAATGAGTTTGCTGATTCGCGAGTAGTTCCAGGCTCCGTGCACCAGCAGCAGGCGAAGCAGGAAACGGAACTAGGGACAAAACATGTTCTTAATGAACAGTTATTACATGAATAAGAGTTTGTGGCTTCTGTAGTTATCTTCATATTGTTTTTACTGGTTGGCTTTATTTAAATACTTTGATTTGTATGTAATGAGCAGTGGTCGGAGTAGGTAGATTGATTTTATATACTTGCGTCAAGATATTGTAATATGGACATACCATTTTATCCATAGTGATTATATTTTAAATTGTAAAAAAATATATTTAATCCTCATCGGTTACAATTTCTATATTTATGAGATAAAGTAACAAAAAGCCCTGTCTAAGTTTTGTCTCATACAGACAAGCGTCATTTCTAAATCAAAAGAAAGGGACAAAATACGGTGTAACTATTCCAAGGCATTTTTGTATAAAATAAAATACTGATTTCTTTCACCATTAGCTAGCACTGATAGCGTAGATTAATATTATTAATACGTTTTTCACCTCAAACACATATTTATGCTAATTTCAAAATTCCGGAACAAATATCACAATAAATATGAAGTTCCGGTATTTTGGAGGCATATCCATATTATCCTCTACGTTTGACGTCAACGATCTTAAATGAATCTACCTACTCCGACCTCTAGTAATGAGCTTGGAACTGTTAGCTAGGGTTTCGGCACCTGCGCGATGCTGTAGTCGGAGGCGCAGACGGCCTGCAGCCCCTCGACGCCGGAGATGCCGACGCCGACGGACGCGCGCTGGATCATGGCCACGTCGTTGGCGCCGTCGCCGATGGCCAGCGTCACCGCCCCCGTGGCGCCCGACACCAGCTCCACCACCTCGGCCTTCTGTATGGGCGACACCCTGCAGCACACCACCACCTTGCAGGATATGCACAGGTCCAGGAAGTCCTTCTTCAGGTCGCAGCCCATCGCGTACTTGAGGCTCTTCCCGTCGATGACGAGCGCCACGTCGTTCTGCTTCCGGAGGTTGTCTCCGAAGTCTATGGCGTGGCGCGACATGGACTCCCGGGTGCCCTGGGGAGACACGACACTGCGTTGTAAGGAACTCATTATGTTGGCTCAGGATCAAAAATTACAATTCTAATTTCGGTATATTGTATTTAAACAGAATATTGCAGTTCTATTACATTATAGCTACCGCTACAATACTTCGCGTCGACTTGTCGCAAGGTTGACAGTGCCGGTGACACTGTAAACTCTCTCTTGTTTATTGTAATCTACAAATGTACTAAAGAGTGGTGAGTAATGTAATAAAACTGACACCGAAGTGCGGCGGCCTTCATGTCTCTTGCCATTGTCCTATCGGGAGAGGGAACAAGTAACCGTGTGGCCGTGCAGTAACTGCAGTTTACTGGTGGTAGGACCTCTTGTGAGTCCGCACGGGTAGGTACCACCGCCCTGCCTATTTCTGCCGTGAAGCAGTAATGCGTTTCGGTTTGAAGGGTGGGACAGCCGTTGTGAGACCTTAGAACTTATATCTCAAGGTGGGTGGCGCATTTGCGTTGTAGATGTTTATGGACTCCAGTAACCACTTAACATCAGGTGGGCTGTGAGCACGACCACCCATCTAAGCAAAAAAAAAAGTTGAATAGATTTGAAGCTTTAAGACTTAGAAATGTTGAGACCGAAGATAGAATGACAGCATTGTTTATTGTTGTTAGTGACGAGTGGGGTGAGGGGGTGGGTGAGGGGGCGGGTGAGCACTGACGTCGAGGCTGTCCTCGTTGAGTATGAGCAGCGGCATGGCGGTGTGGATGAGCCGTGCGGAGTGCGCGATGTTGATGGCGGTCTCCTGCTTGTCTCCCGTGAGCACCCACACGTTGATGTTGGCCTTCAGGAGCGCGGCGATTGTCTCGGGCACCCCGTCCTGTCGCATACACGCGTCACTGCACTCACGTGCTCGGTACAACGTAACATATCGCGCGGCCTAACGTAGCTTATTTTGGTACGTTCAATCGTTTATTTTGGCCTCAAATGACGTCACACTGATGTTACGTTCAACCGAACTCGTTGTAAGTGACCTGTTTGTTGATATGCATCATTGTACCTATTGCATCCGTTCAACATTAAATAATTTAAACAGATAAATTTGAACACTGAACGCATATTGTATTTAATATTTAAGTTTTTGTTATAATCGTCTTGTAATAAACTTTTCTACTCCTATATTACATAGATAATTTTATGATTGTCACAATGTGCTGGTCCTCCATGAACGTCAAGACATGTCTCAAAGCAGTTGTCCCGTACTTTCAATCGGACTGACTACACAGCTGCAGAAATTAGCAAAATGAATAAATAAGTATTCGCGTGGGCAAACGATGTAGATCTTGTTTGTATGTAGTTAGGGGGTACGCTCACCTGCAGCTTGTCTTCAATGGCAGTGGCTCCGAGCAGCCTCAGGTTGTTCTCTACGAGGTCGGCGGCTTCCTCGATCTTCTGCTCGCGGTCCTGTATCGCGATGCTCGCCTTGTGGTAGGTGTTGGACCAGTCCTGTTCGAACAGATCATGCCGTGATGGGATGCGAGCGAGGGGGCGGAGGGGCGGCGGGGGGCCCGGCACGCACCTGGTAGACCTGCTCGGGGATGTCGGCGACGGCGAACACGAGGGTCCGGAGCCCCTCCGCGGCGAAGTGCTCCAGGTGCGCCAGGGTGGCCGCCGCGAAGGGCGCGCTCTCTCCACCGGACAGCCGGCTGTAGATCACGCTGTCCGCGCCCTTGCAGTACAGCTTGATGGTCCCTGCACACGGGGCAGCCTATAGCACTCAAGATATAGTGTGATTTTAATTTTATTTTTAATACATTAGGCGTTGTAGTTTGATAAAAGATTGCAATACAAATATGAATTGATTGCGGAAGTAATTAGCGGAGTGTGGGGGCGCACCTTCCGGCGTGCGCACGATGACGGACATGCGCTTCCTGGCGGAGGTGAAGTCGAGCACGTGCAGCAGCTGGTAGCGCAGCGTGTCCCCCAGCGCGCGCACGTGCACGTGGCTGGGCGTGCGCGTGCAGAACGAGAAGCCGAAGGCCGCGGCGCCCGTCACCAGCGCGCGCTCGTCTGCACACACACGAGGCGGACATGCCGCACTACACTTATTTACTGCTTTTAATTTGATACCATTTAATAATTATTTGAAATCCATCGAATTTTTAACACAATTTATTTTCAAAATAGAGCAGGCGGATAAATGCAAATCAAAGAGGTGCATCGGATTAAACGTTATTTGATAATTGTAGTTCAAGGTCCCAGCGTGGGATTGTCAGCTACTATCAGTGCTGAGACTAAGACTGTTGCGTCATCTCCGACTGATCATCGCAGCACCTGGGACCGTTGTGTATAACCTCAATACAGTTCCAGAGACCATTCTCACCACGTACCACCCGACCACTGGATCGAGCTACCTGTGGCGGGTAGCCATCATACAACGCAAGATAATTGACAGATGCCTGAATCTCGCTTACGACATTTTCAAGATAAAGCGCATATATACAAGTTCCGAACAACAACATTTGGACCGTCGGTCTACCGAGCAAATATCACCCGCTCGGTGGAAGATCTTCCCTTGTCGTATACCTACACTACCTTCCCCATCGACGTCCCGCGGACGCTACTACACGACTTTCTTCATACGTTAGTGCAAATTTTTTTTCCAAGCGGCACCGGTTGTGTCTATTTCTCGTCTCCAAGAGTAGTAAGTACCTCTGACCCTATACTATTCGCACGTTTTCAATGACAATAAAGTAAAAAGTAATATGGTGTGAAATTTATAAATTATGAGAAATCGAGGTTGCCCTAAATTGTCAAAGTAACAGTAGCAGCGCTGTGACCCTGAGATCACAAATGTATGTTTGGAAGTGAATGAGGCGGTACCGGGGGAGGCGGCGTGGTAGTCCACGGTGTCCCCCTTGGTCTCGGGGATGACGGTGTGGCAGATGGCCAGCATGATGAGGAACTCGCGGATGACGGGCGCCGTGGGGTGCTCCCGCGTCAGGTTCTGGTACAGCGGCGTGTCCTCCAGCCGCTCCGCGGGCCCCGGCCGGCTGTAGATCACCTGCGCCGAGGGGGACGGTACAGTTTGATATCGACAGCCTTTTTTTTTGCAACTACTAGGTACTTTAATTTGGTTTTACTATTATATGAAAATAATTCAACAAAAATATTTACTGGACTGAAGCGTAACAAAATTTAAAATCAATTGTATAATGTTATGTTGATACAACACGCGTTCAGTCGAGTAACTCTGACATAGACACCTCTGCGATGGAGCACTTGTGGAAGACCATGACGTTTTGCGTGAGGGTGCCGGTCTTGTCGCTGAACACGTAGCGCACCATGCCCAGCTCCTCGTTGAGGTTGGAGGTCCGCGCCATGGCCGCCGTGTCGCTGGCCGGGTCGTACATCTCGCTGTCCATGGAGATGAACTTGGCCTGCGCGGAGAGGGCTGCGGTTTAGTGCTAGCGTCGGAAGGACAGCTGTGCTCCACGGATGTTTACCCAATTTTTTGGGTCTTTGATTAGGCTCTAAGACTTAGATAGATTTATTGACCGTGTGGTGTCATCCACCCCATTGGTTCTCGTGGATGATGTGAGGCGACTAAGGCCTTCACCGCAGCGCGGGCTTTAGTATTCTCCGAGTAATGTATCACCCGCTGGATGTACTGTGGAACGGCTGCGGAGGTACTTCCTTATTGGACACCGACATATCATAAGTAGCAAATCTACACATAGTTCACATTACAGACGGGGACTGCGTGCAGTGTTGTTGGATTCTATTAAAACATTACACTGGAACATCAACCTCGTGTCCGGTCTGGTGGACGGCAGCGTCTACCTTGTGACGTTTGAAGGGATCGGTAACCTCTCAACTTCAGGCGATCAAATAAAAGTAGTGATACTGACCTGGAAGAAGCGAACTATCTCGGCGGTGACCTGCAGCGATATCGGTATGAGGTTGTTGTACAGGATCAGAAACGTCAGGAAGTTGAACCCGAAGTGCGCGTTCTGCGCCTCTGGAACAAGCGGACGCGCCGTGACCAGGGGCTGGCGGGGGCGAGGGGGGCGCGGGGCGGGCACGAGGGGTCGGGGCGGGCGCGAGGGGGCGGGGCGGACGGGTACGCTGTCGGTTGGCCTTCGCTTCCCGCGTTGTGACCGCGTTACGTTCGTTCTTACCATGGCACAAAAAATTTTAATGACGAAATGGTTTTATATCGAAAAATTAGGAAAATCACTTATTATGTACTTGTATTGTTTTATGAAGAGTGAATGAATGAGCTGATAGCGAATTACAAAGAAAGCAAACTTGCAAATCTAGCTTTTTCAGAGTAATTTAATTTGAAGAATGCATACTAAAACCAAAGTTACACAACTTACACTAAATTTATTAAATTAAAACAAAGAGCAGTTTAAGAAATTCAATATCGATACCACATTAAACGAAGCGGGCCATTCTGTACTCCGTCTGCGAGCCCGTCCTGGACCATCGAAGCGGCCTAGTCCCTAACACAGGGATACGCTGCCAGCAGAAATATGAGTTGGAACCTTACAGGGATAGCTGACCCCGTTAATGAATAAGTAAATGTAACGGGAGAAACAGAATGGGGATAATTATGCACCAAGGCAATGAAAATAGAGGCTGATTGCTGTGATGGCGATCATGTGGTCGGCGTTACGTCAGCAGCATTAGTTGTTCGCGAGGAGGGGGGGGGGGGCGAGGTGCCCAGACTGACCCCCCCTCCCGCACCTCGCCCTCGTCTAGTTTTCACGTCAGCCGCGACGACTTATTGGGGGCAAGGATTATTACTTTAGTTTTTTGTACTAAATTAGATTAAAATATTTTACACCGAGCCATACATGTTTTTATATCTATTTAATGATTATATATATAATATTATCTTTCCAATGCGCCAGCCGACAACCTACACGAAGCCGTAAATGGAAGGCTCAGTGTCGTGCGCGCGGACACACGCTCCGGTGCAGGGTTCGATTCAATTTGAGAATTTAATTTATAGCCGGCCATATATTATCTTAGATCCTTCGATTTAAAACTAACACTGACCTTCGAGCCCGATGTACCAGTCATTGTGATTCCGCATCCAGAACTCGTTGAAGCCGGCGCTGAGCAGCGACAGCGCCAGGAGGATGATGAACAGCATCAAGATGTGGGTGTTGGTCTGGCGGTCGATCGATGAGCGCTTCAACGGGGCTGGAAGACAAATTTCTTTACTGAGACAATAGACACGCCCCCGCCCGCCACGGTGTCCGAGCAAACAACAAAAACTCCTGACCTTAAATCATTGAGTATGTACTCACTATAGATTTACACTGGTGTAGGACCAATTTGTGAGTCCGCACGGGTGGGTACCACCGTCCTGCCTATTTCTGCCGTGAAGCAGTAATGCGTTTCGGTTGGAAGGGTGGGGCAGCCGTTGTAACTATACTTGAGACCTTAGAACTTATATCTCAAGGTGGGTGGCGCCTTTACATTGTAGATGTTTATGGGCTCCAGTAACCACTTAACACCACGTGGGCTGTGAGCTCACCCACATATCGAAGCAATAAAAGAAAAAAGAGATGTAATACTAGCGACGTTAGTACCTTTAGTAGAATTCTTCATGAGTTTGGTTTCGTGTCCCGTGTACACCACCACGCCGTGCACCCAGGCCGTGTTGCGCAGCATCGCCCCCCGGAGGAGCATCTGGTCCAAGCCTAGAGGCAGCGTCCTGAAAAAGACACAAATTCATTATGAGTTTATTTATTTTGTAAACTTCCAAAATAATTTAGTAATTTTTTTTTTTTTTTATTTATTTATTTGGACACACCAACAGCAATACACACAAAACATTCAAGCTTAAAATTAACATGTATAAAACTAAGTACTGGTATGTAAGCCAGTTACAGGCATGTACAGCAATCTCTTATAACACACTATGACATGTTACAGCAATATATATATATTTGAAAACAACATGAAAACAAGAGCTAACTACACACACTACTAACTTCACAGATTACTAAATAAGAAATAATGCACATATTTATATAGTAAAAAATTATAAATAAAAATTATAAAACTATAAAAAAATTAAAAAAGTCGAGCGCGGCAATGCAAAAAATATAAATATATAGAACAGACTGCGCAATGTAATCAGANCGATTCCGATCCGGTAGTAGATTCATTCGCGAAGCAGCTACTCTTGAGTTGTTAGGTCTCCTTCGGAGGCGCTCGGGTAGCTGTTAGCAAATCCCACCCCTCCTGGCTGAGCCTTTGCTCGCCCACCTGTCCTGGTGAAACTGGAAAGGCCTCCGGGCCACCAGTAATCCTTCAATCATAAAAAAAAAAAAAAAAAAAAAAAGATTATGCGAAGCACTGCTCTTGCTAGGGTTAGTATTCGCATCACTCCAGCTTGAGCCCCGTGAGCTCACCTACTAGTTAAGGTTACGCTGAAATAGCCTCTCATGGCTATCAGCTTAGGTAGGAAAAAAAAAGTGCTATTTGACGATATCACAGTCAATACGAAATGTTTCAAACTTTCCAGAACATTTCCGATAATACAATGATAATTAAGAGGCAACTCGAATTGGACGTAATCACAAAACCAGCGAACGTTAACATCAAAACCGCATTCCTCGAACAGATCATAAACTAGGCCGAAGAGCCGGACCGGGTGAGGCGAGCTAATCTATCTTCGATGCCGTATCTAAGCTATACACGTGAAGGGATCGGATCGATGGTAGTGACATGCACATTGTGTCCGTGCAATCCTCTTCCGTCGATATGGGAGTTGGGAGAGACTGGGGGCTTACACCGACGTGAATCAAACGAATATTTGGTATGCACTCCGAATTTACTAATCACTATTATAAATTAAAGAATATTTTGAGGGCTTTGAGCGCGGCGACCGAATCAAGAAATTCCGTAACGAAAATAAAACCTAACACCCCCACTCCGCCTACCTTGTAGCTTGCATTCAACACATTCACACGTTGCGCTTGTGTAGTGTTTGTGAATAAGCGCGCGGCATGACGTCGCATTACATACGTATCATGAAAAGTCTGCCCATCTCTCTCGCGCGCGGTCTAGCTTATGAGTGAAGGGGACAGTTAATGTTTTGCTTTTGTTAATGTTTACAAATATAGCGTGGTCTTATTTTATTATTGTTTAATATTAAATTATTATTGTCTAATTATAATTGTATACGTTGATAAAAAATTCTATGCAATAGCTTTACCGCGGTAGTACCCGAGTGCGAGTGCTACATGTTTTTTCTTTGTTTTTGCATGTGATGTATGGATGATTATGCAACTGATTTGAAATCCAAGGGTTTTCTGGGTTCAAAGTAATCAGAAAATAAACGCCATTGCCTTGTTACATTGGTGCATTAGTAAGCGCACCCGACTTCTGGACCGACAGTCGAAGGTTCTACTCCGACATCGGGATAACTTTTTGTTAAGATCAGGTTAATTTTCTCTTAAGGCTTGAGTCTTTAAAATCAGTATACGTACATGTTAATACGTTTATAAGTATATAGTTTCTTGTTCCCATAGTAAAGGTAATCGTAGTTTGGGGGGGCTAGATGCGTGAAGCAACATGCCTTGGAGTATTTATTTTATTATTAAAGTATTACAAGTAAAGTCAGGAGTGGTGGAAACTACTACAGATTAGGTTAGGAGACCACATACAAAAGGCCTACACTGTATCTTAGTTATACGAAACGTAACTGGCTGTGAGAGAAAGAGACAAAGAAAATATGTGTTATCAACTCTCTCTCTCTCTCTTGCCTCTTTTTTTTTATTGCCCTTGTAGGCAGACGAGCATACGGCCCACCTGATGGTGAGTGGTTACCGTCGCCCGTGGACTTCAGCAATGCCAGGGGCAGAGCCAAGCTGCTGCCTACCGCTTAATACTCTCCACAAGCCTCGTTTGAAGAAGGACATGTCATAGCGCTCGGGAAACACCGTGGAGGGGAGCTCATTCCATAGCCGGATGGTACGTGGCAAAAAAGATCTCTGGAAACGCACTGTGGATGACCGCAGTGGCTCCAGGTAGTATCGATGAACTCTACTCCGGTGGCCTCTACAGTTATATACTAAACGTAGCTGTCTCTTTCTATCTTCACTAACTTATATCTCCCTCTCAGCTTCCGTTCGCCTAGCCCGATCACACTTTTCGTAACGCTCCCGTCACGCACTTACCAGCTTAATCCCCAAGTCAAGCGAGCGAAAAGAGGCTTTATGTCAATAATAATAAGACTATTTGTTACATGTCGGTGTTACAACGGACGTTTCCGTAACAGACAGAGAGAGATGTCTGACAGGTCGACACTTACGCTATGAATTAAACGAACATTGGAATTGTCTTGCAAATCCATTTACTAAACAGATGTACGTAATGTAATTCTACATATGTTCGCTTTGAAACCTCATTTAATTACTATGTATTGGCGTAAGGTTAATATAAATAGGCAAAATTGACTATTCTAATAGAATAGACGACGGTTTCTTCTAAAATTTAAGGGTATGCCTCCCGTCGCTGTATGGAAACGGCAAATTATATGTTGTGATTAACTGTATTTTGAGCAATAATTGTAATAAAGTATATTGGTGTTAACTCAAATCTAATATAGACTCGTTTCGATTAATAAAACCCAAGTAATATTCCATTATTTACATATGAAACCCGCAAATTTATAATTTGCGTAATTACTGGGGGTAGGACCTCTTGTGAGTCCGCACGGGTAGGTACCACCACCCTGCTTATTTCTGCCGTGAAGCGTTTCGGTTTGAAGGGTGGGGCAGCCGTTGTAACTATACTTGAGACCTTAGAACTTATATCTCAAACTTGGTGGTGCATTTACGTTATAGATGTCTATGGGCTCCAGTAGTCAGTTAACACCAGGCGGGCTGTGAGCTCGTCCACCCATCTAAGCAACAAAAAAAAATTCCATGCGAAATTTAATGTGTCAGTGGACTGTAACAATAGAGCTACTTTTGTTACGAAAATCTATATATATTAATACGTGAAGCAAAAACTTTGTATCCCTTTTTACGAAAATTGCGCGGACGGATGAGTATGAAATTTTCCACACTTATAGAGAATATAGAGAAGAAGTGCACAATGCTAATATTTTTTTAAAATAATGCATAAAAGATACATTAAATCAATAAAGAAAACATTACACACACTACATACCATGTATTTGACGCACACATGCATGCATACTATTTATTGTCAAACTTTTGTTCTTGGCGTCTGTTGTCAAATTGAGAATAGATTAAATATTGTTTGCCTTTGTTAATATTTTTTATAGTGTAGTCTTGGTGAAATTTGTGATTATAGAAGTATAAAATACAATCATAATAGTGTACAAACTTACAATTCCAATTAATTATAGTCGAATTTCGACTACTGCGGGGCCTTTAGTTATGTTAGTTCTATGTTTTTGCGTTTCCCAAGTAACATTTTTCAAAACAATATTGTCTTTACTAATGATAGACAGAATTTTTTGCTTTAATTTTATTATTACAGTTACCTCATTATTTTGATTGCGATTTTCGAAATGCACACGCGTTGTAGTTTGTTAAAATTTCATTTAATGACCACATACATATAAGTAATTCTAATAAAAACGAGTTATAACACTATCGAGAACCAATGGTAAATCATACAACAGCACATCCCGTGATAAACCGTTGCCCATAAAACTTGTCCATAACGACCGTACTGTCACCACCAAGAATGCAATATATAGTAGTGATCTCCATCTCTTTTCCTCCTTTAAAATAAGCGATAAGCGCCTTGAGACGGAACCATTTTATTGCAAGGAATATTTTACTTATAGAAAAATTGGAAGTGGAAAAATAATACATTGATGTCCTGAATTGAATGAAACATTAAAGTTATCGATATCTGTTATTACGAAGGCGAAATGACGTGCTATGATACCAACCACATACACGTCGGGCTTCAAACCCCACAGGTAAATATCAAAATTTCCAATAAAACATTGACTTAAAACCCGATAATTTCGTTAAGTTGTCTAACTACTTATGACGGAACATGGTGTGAACCCTTTTTGAACTAAAATTACTGGTAGGATAGGAGCTCTTCCGATCTTCCTTGGGAGTGAAAGGTTTGCTAACACCTACCCAAGTGCTAAGGAGACGCTTAGTAACTCAAAAACAGCTGGTACGTGAGTGTATCAAATCAAATCAAATCAAAAATTTTTTATTCAACATAAATGAAAGTACATACTTGTTGAACGTCAAAAGAACTACCGCCAATTCACAAGAACTAGCCTCCGTCCTGTGAAGAATTGGCAAGAAACTCAGAGGGCATGTCTTTTTTTGTTTTTAAATATGAAATTATTATTTATTTATTTTTTAATATTAGATTTTTTTTTAAATATGATTTTTTTACAATGAGTATTATAACGTAACAATTACTACAATATTGAAATGCCCGAAGCGAGCAACTCATTCCTACTTTGTGCAATCTTCTAGATAATCATTGACTTTATAGTTTTATTGCACAGATGTTCTTTAATAGTTTTCTTAAACCTATCGGAACCTTAATATTGATATCGCGACTCGCTTAAGACTTAGAGCTATATTCTTGGTCAGGTCGAACTCTGCGATGAATACGGTGACCTGCTTCAGTTGATGCCAGCTTCAGAACCCTGCAGACTGTTGCTGACAATGACAGGTTAATACAACAATTACC